AAGTCATGGTTCATCGCGAAAATCGTTCCGTCATGATGCAAATGATTCGGTTCGAAACGACCGCATTCTAGGAACTCGAGGGTCGATTCCCTTTGGATAGCAAGTACATGATGTCTACGTACCAATCTAAAATTTACATTAATATCGTCGACACAAATCCACTTTAATATCACGATACGCCTTCATGTAGAAATATTCTTGTTTCTTCGAGACTATTACAGCTAATACGAAAAGGCAAAAAATGTATGATTAGAATTATGTTTTCGTATGTGAAACTGTTCGACAGCTAAACGGGGCATCCTGCCGGCAATTTGTTCAATTTACCGGTGTTTATCGTGGCCATTAGGTATTTGACACTATCATCCTTACGATCGACTTCGTTTTCTTCGAAAGCGCAAGACGACACATAGCAGCGATTCTCGCGTGTATTCGTCGATACACTCCTGTTATACCGTTATCACTTCGATCGATCTCGTAAGGTAGCCAGAGTGTCGGTAGATGTTCAATGAATCTATCGAATAAATTCATACACGAGTATTTCTTCAATTATATATATCGACCGTAGTATTTCAATGAGAAAGTGCATGGCAGAAGTAAGGAAGACTTAAAGGAGTTTCTTATTAGTTTGAAAACGGTTAATATTGTTTCAAGACGTCGTTTCTTTTTCCATTCATCTAGGATTTGATGAAGCTGAAAGAAATGGAAAGTAATATTTATAGTATCGTACTAGGATATTTGTATAGGAAAACTATATATCGTACTAGGAAAAAAATAGAATCTTTTCTTTATATCTGTAATTTGCGTAGTGGTTTTCCATATAGTGTCTATTATTACGATACAGATTTTTGCTTTAATGAAACAATAAGTGACTTTATCCACGTCTGTCAATAATAATAAGTTTATGCAACTTTTACGAACTATTTCACCGCTTGATCCTTAATGCTTTGACGAAATAATCGAACGTTACGTATCGATCGATCGGAATCGATTGGCGGGCGAAATCAACCGATTCCATTGTGCGCGAGCTTTCGCTCAGAAATAGGCTGTCCCATTGAATCGCGCGTGGCTCTGAATATCTTCGTGGTGATGTTTCGTGGCTAGGCAGTCGGTTCGGTCGTTCCACGCGATAACGCAATCATTTGTATGGGCTAGCCGTTGAAATCGTTTCGATAGCGATCGCGGTGATCTTACGAGACTGGGCGAGAAAAAAGAACGAGAAAGCGAAGAAACGATCGAGAGACATTCCAGGGCTAGGCGTATCCCCAGAAGGTGTTCCGTAGCTTGGGACACGGGGACGGCGTCTAATTGATCACAAATACAAAAGAATCGGCTCGGGGCAGCGGCACGGCACGACACAGCCTCATGCGTGTCGACCGGTCGCTTCTATAAACATGCTAATGGCGGTTCCCGATAATAAGTTAGTGGCCCCCGATAGTCTCGCTCTTTCTGCGCGCGACTCTCTGCTCCTATACAAATCTCCGTATACCTACGTAAACGACGACACGGCGGCGGGAGATGCAGCGAGGCGGTGAGACGGACGCGCGCGCGAATCGAGCGGAAAAGAGAACGCGAAAGTGTGACGGACGAAAGGATGGCGAAGACGGAGAGATAGAGAGGATATCACGGTAAGGGAGAATACGACGGATCGAAGAATTGAGAAAGATAGTTGTGAGACGAATAGGGAAAGAAAGGGAGAGAATGAAAGGTGACGTGAACGGAGGAGAGATCGAGAGGACGAGACAAAGTATACAGAGGGAGAAGAAGAGAAAGAAAAACTCCGGTCTGACCGCGAGAGCGTGCTTTACACGCTGATGCGTCCGAACGCGTCGAGGCGAAGAAGCGGAAAGAAGCGAAAATGGTGAAGAAAAAGGCGAAGGAAGAAGAAGGAAGAGAAGGAAGAGAAGGGAGGAGGTGGTGGCGTCAATGGTGGCAGTGGTGGTTGCGACGAAAGGAAAGGTGGCGAAGTAAAGGGCGACAGGCGAAGGGCAGGGGAAGCGGAGAAAGAGGGGAGGACAAGGGAGAAGGGTTAGTAGCTCTTGTAACGCTATCAACCCTGTCGCTGTACATCACGTCGACACCATCCTAGTCGACTCATTTCAGACCGCAAGAGTAGTAGGAGTTGGCTTCTGCGCCATTACTTCGCTGGCCGGGTCCTACGTGCACACGCAAACACGAGCAAAGAGGTCTGCGCGATCGAGCCACGTACACGCAGGTTGCACGCGAGGCCGGCCAACGAAAGAAAAAGAGGGAGAAACCTTCGGTAGAATGTGTGCTATGTCTTGGGAGCATATTCCCTCGCGGACCAACTGATTACGTAAAATAAGAATCTTACGGTCGCTACTAATGCGAACAGAATGTACCTAGGGAATTTACTCGCTTTACGAACGGATAATTGCACTCGTTACACCACGCTAAGAACGGTCACCGATCGATGGAATATTTTCTTGAGACGCGAGTTTCGTTACGAACTAGACGTATCTAGTTTCGCTATTCGATTTTAGAGAATGAAATTTTCGATTCGGAGAATCTGTCGAAAAGTTCAATGGCCGGAGATGCAAAACGAAAAGCATCGTCCTAGGTTGGGAAGATCGGCAGGCAGTCGCGCGGTCTCGGGGCGAATCCGGCGGGTCCCGAGACGTGCGAGAACGTCTGTTTCTCGTGGGATATCTCCCGGCCATTTCCGTTTAATTGATCGTCCTGAAACGTTGGCACGTATATGTGCTCCGTGGATCGAAGACGATACTGGGACGGCGGTTTCAATGGTCACTGGACGAGCCAATTAGCTCCGTCCCAATGCTCAGGTACATTCTTCTCCCTCGCTCTTCTTCCCCCTGACACCCTCGTGGCGTCCTTTTTCTCGCTCGAACGAACGCGTCTCTCTTTTTCTTACCAGAGCACGGATTCCCGGTCTATATGCGACCTGGAAGGCTTCCGGGCTGAAGCGGGACATTACGGGCCCCTCTTCTACCTCAGACGGAACACAGAAAACCGAGGTCCTATCTTATCCGGGAAGAAGTTTATAGCCCGGTCGACTCTAATTGGGCGAGAAATCATCGGGCACTCCTTTCCTCTGTCCGCTCGCTCAAAAAGACGCTCACTAATTCACGATTTCTCGCGTATTATTGCCGGGCCATACCACCCTTCTTTCCCCTTTCTACCCTCTCTCTCTCTCTCTCCCTCTCTTTCTCTCTCTCTCACTCCATCTTTCCGTCTTGCAACAGTTTCACAGTTTCGATGCTATTCGTTTCCGTGGCTCGTGTCGGCTTCTCGCCGTGGCAACAATGTTTCGCGAGGAACGGGTCGCTTTGACGATTTTCTGCGAGCGACGCGTTATCGAGGGCCGAAGGTGTTCGTTATCGAACCAGACTCTTCGAGCCTGAGAAGAATCCGAAGAACGATAGATAGGTACGAACACCTCGTCGTGTCGGTCGGTTCGATTAACTTGTCCTTAAACCGCGAATGTTGGGGCCGCGTTAGCAAGGAGAAGCTCGAGATACACGGACTGTATCAGGGATATTTCTCTTCTTTCATGAAAGGAGGGTGTAACGCGCGAGGGGAAGGGTTTGGGTGGCGCGCGTAGCGTGGAAGGCGAAAACGACAAAGAGGAAAGAAAGCGCGCGCGATTTACCGGGCACGAAAAGGTGCGCTACGCTCTCCGCGGCAGGCAATATCTCATTGAGCAAAGGAGGAGGTGACTTTAACGTTGGCCCCTCGTTCTTCCCATGAGCAATCGCGGCTGAGACGGGCTCCGACGTGGCCGCTGCGAGTAAGATCGTTAATCTTACCGCACCGATCGGTCTCAGATAGTAATTGTTACGTTCTCGTTTCTCCTGGCTGACTGCCTGAATGTATCCGGCGATCCTTCCTTCTGTTCTGTTCTGTTCTGTTCTGCTCGTGCCCTCCTCTCCTCTCCTCTCTTCTCCTCTCTTTACCGCTCTTTACCTCTCTTCACCAGACGCTCTTACCTCCTTCTTTCCTCGACTTCTCCCTTATCCACCCTGTTTCCCGCATGTGTTCGACTGCTCGTTTGTCCCTTGTTCTTTCTTTTACGCCGAGAGTGTCGAACGACCCTCACCCACCACCGGTGTTAATGCCTTTGGCAACTTTGTTCGCATTACAATAACGTCGATCCCTTATTCTATCTTAAGCTTCGGCCCTATCGCTCCTGCCTTTTGTACATCGTTCGCCTCTGACTTTCCTTTTCTCTTTTTCGCCCTATTGTACGATACACCGATTTCACCGTCCGGGATATGAGCGTTCCACGGGGTAATTTCAATGGCCTCCACCTCGCTACGAAATTCTTTCGACCCGAAGCAGATAAGGATAGTAGGGAGTAGTAATCGTAACAAGGCGAAAGATAGCAGCAGAAGATGTCACGAACACGCAAAAATGTTACTAAGGACATACAGGATGATTCAGGAATATTTGGCAAGTTTGTTTCAATTATCCGGCCGACCGTGTCCCTTTTTTTTCGTCGCGACGCGACGGGTATGTTCGACGTTTCGCCTCTCTTTCGTTCTTCGGATCGTTCGCTCTACCGTGCGCGCACATCCCCGACCACGGGCGTGGTTATAAATTTGGTAGTCGCGTTAACAGCTGACGGGGGCCACGATATCCGAAATGTTGGCGGATCCGGTGTTTTCGTGCTCTCCGCCAACAACCGATTCCACCCGTGGCCGAAAAGTGTCGCCCGAGAAACCAGTTTCACACGCAGATTCCTTATTTGCGAACCCGACGAAACCGTAGATTCGAGTTAATCGTCGATGAGCCTTTCTCCTGGCCCCCGCCCATCCCCTTCTTTCTCTCCTTTCTGTCCCTTATACGTGTCTCATACTTGCTTCCCTCTGAGGGGATGCTAATTTTCACCAAAATCACCCAAAATTGATTTTTTATCACCCAATGGATTCTAAGAACGTGTGACCAGAATAGGAATAAAGGTGGATTTGAAAACGTGGACAAGGTTGCGATGTTTCGAATTGTTTCGTAGTCAAAGACTTGTGTAGATATTTACAAACGAATTCATTTAAATAAAAGTCGTTTTTAACAGAGTTCGTTACAGGGTTACCATCGATTCATCTATTTTTTCTACATAGTGCCTAGGTAATGCATTATCTGCGTTATAATGATTTCGCTAGGACTAGTTCCGGATAAGTTTCGGCGTTTGTTTCCTCGGCGTTTGGATCTTTCCTCACTTCGTATCTGGATCTTTCCTGTTCTCGTATCTGGATCTTTCCTGTCCTCGTATCTGGATCTTTCCTGTCCTCGTATCTGGATAGGGGAAGCGTCCACTGCACCGCGGTGTAAATTATAGCGCAGCGCTGCAATTATAGCGCAGCCGGCCGACAGCCCGATACATATCGGGTAAGCAATTAATTACCTATCTAAATCCTCGGTACTTCTAGCTGACAATAACGCCACGACGGCACTGCCGGTAATTGGAATTTAACGTTACACAACCATCCTCGTAGCTTATTATCGTAATCTTAATTGTAATAAATGGATCGTAATCGTAGTAAGTAGTTGGATAGGTACTAGGGACGTATCACTCGACATGAACGATGAAGAGTCGAGGACATGTCGAAGCGAGACACACGAATTGAAGTTTAACGAAACGATCTCGTCAGTCTTCTGTTCTTGTGTAATGAAATTCTATGAGATTAAGCAATAGTTACAGTCACTGTTCGAATTCGACGCGAATTCTACTACGATCACGATCGATCGATATAAACGGATCTCGAGATTTCTTGTTCGCGCACATATTAGATCGATACACTTGAACGTTCTCTCTCGCAGCAACGTTTTTTTCATATATCACTGATTCACAATCGATCGTGGACACTAGGCATGTGCTAAATCACGATATTCGGTGGCAAAAGATTTCACGCAAAACTCATTGTTACTTTAAACGTTTCTAATACGAGCACAATTTCTTCGATCGTTCCACCTAGTTTCGAGTTGGAACGATTTCAACGATCGTGTTTCGTCAATTCCAAGGGTTGCTGTTCCGTCCAATGATCCCGCCATGCAACGGTCGGCGAAGAAGCAACGTCTTGGTCCGAATCTTGCACGTCGATCTCCTCGTCTTCCTCTTCAACCTCGATCCGCTCAAATTCCTTGTTGTTCGCAGACTCGGATTCAATCACCGATCTAACGTTAGTCTCGTGCCTCTGCTGTTCGTAGGTCGGACTCGAGGACTTGATTATACTCGGCGAATCGTCACCGACGAGTTGACTGATCATCCTAAAGGCGCTCGGCTTTCTTTCCGGCTGTTTGGTGATGGAATCGACCCTGTCGATTCTCTCGTTCCGTTCCGCGGCCTCTCTGGATGACGAGGAGTTGGTCACGACGGCCCGGAACGCGCTACTTTCTCCTCCCATTCCGGCGATTGAGCAGCTTGACGCACGGCTTACTTCCATACCGGATGCGGAATGCGGTTGCGGCGGCGG